GACAGTGCTGGCTCTTCAGCTTGGAAACGGAGATGAGCACCACAACCCTAGAGTCAGATTCAACTAGCTTTCGAGCAAGGGAAACCTTTACCTAGCTGTGTTAGTCTATTGTAGCAAAATTAAAAAGAGGTCTGGGGGTACCTTTAAAAACTAACAGCATTTATTCCAGCATGAGCTTCAACCCTGTAGCCAGGAAATTTTCTGGCAGGGGGATTTGGGGGGGGGTCGTGCCCCACGATGTGTTGATGTCACTAGTAATATCACCACGAGTGATTCTCCTCCAAGGAGAGCTGAAGATAAGGCAGTCAGGTGGCTCACTGCTCTGCTGCTTGACTGGCTCCTCGGTTCTCCAAGCAGGTACAGATGAAGTGAGGTGCCGGGGTGAGCCTCTAATGGCCCGTTGCAGTGCCACACTGCACCTGTGTGCCAGCCAGTAAGTTGGATCTCTGAGAACTCTCAGAGAGCTGGCTGGCTGGCAGGCACTGGGGACTTGCTGGCTAGCTGGCACTGGGGCTCCCCTTAGTTGATAGGGGGTGCAGCCCCTAAAACCTCACTACTGGCTACAGCCCTGATGAGCTTTCATGAGTCAGAGCTAACTTCTTCAGAAGCATATTACTCCAATTTTGGTCCATCTACACTGGCTCCCATCTTGTTTCTGATCCCAATTCAAGGTGCCGCTGCTGACCTTTAAAGTGCTATATGGTTTGGGACCACCATACCTTAAGGACTACCTGCCATACAAACCTACCTGACCACTTATGTCACCTTCTGAGGCCCTGTGTTGGGTGCCCCTTCCTTCTAAGGTTAGACACATAAAAACCCAAGAGAGGGCCTTCTCAGTTGTGACACCAAAACTGTAGAACTCCCATAACAGAGAAATTTGTTTGCCTCCTATCACTGTCTTCTCCTGGCAAGTGAAGACTTTTTTATTTGTCTTATGTTGCCTCAGTGATCCCTCCTTCCTACCCTATGTCTTAATTGCTGGATCTGTGTTTTTTATATATGAATTTTACACTTTATAGTTTTATAATGTTCTGCTTTTAATTGTTATCATCCTTGGTGGCCCTGATTGGGCAGAAAAGTGGAATATAAATTCTGTATGTAAATAATAGATACTGGAAGAAAATCATTTTGCAGGCTTATGTAAGAAAAAATAGAAAAGGGAAGGGGGAAAGGATGAGCTGGAGTCAGAAAGAGGTTTGGTGTGAATGTCATAAATTTTTCAGTTGTGATTCTCTGTATAAGGAACTGAAATGAACTAAATTGTTACACAAAATGGAAGATGAGAGATGCCAGAGGTTCCAGCCTCTCTTCTTTCATGTGGTGTAGGTAAATAAAAGTATAATAAAGTAGGATAAACAACAACTAATCAAGGAAAAAGCAACCTGAGATATAAGAAAATTGACTGTATAATACAACATATTAAGGGATATCAAATTAAATGTTTCTAAAAAGTTAGTCCTGTTGAGCTGTTAAAACTCATTGAGTAAGAAAAATCAAGTCTTTATTTAAATCAGGATTAGTGTTTAATTCTAATTCATCACCTTTACCCTCTATCTTCCCTTTGAAGTTCTGTGGAGGTTGGGTTTTTTTGGGGTGGTGGTGGTAGAAAAGTTACTTTCTGACCTGCAACAGTATCTCCAGGAAGATTAAAATGTTCACCCAGCTATTTGTTATGTCAAATTTGTGTTAGCTGATTCTCTCATATAGGGACCTGTTAGCCTAATTGCTTTATTATTATTATTATTATTAGTAGTAGTAGTAGTAGTAGTAGTAGTAGTAGTAGTATTAGTATTATTAGTATTGGTATTAGTAGCATTAGTATTGGTATTAGTAGCATTAGTATTGGTATTAGTAGTATTAGTAGTATTAGTATTGGTATTAGTAGCATTAGTAGTATTGCTAGTAGTATTAGTATTAGTATTGCTAGTATTACTACTAGTATTAGTATTATTAGTGGTATTAGTAGTATTGGTATTAGTAGTGGTATTAGTAGTATTAGTATTAGTAGTAGTGGTAGTAGTATTAGTATTACATTTTTGCCTGGAAGCCATGGCGACCTCTGGTGACTCCTACTGGGGCGTGGAGGACATTCAGAGAAGTGGCTTGATAGCCTGCCTCTGCCTTCCCAGCCCCGGTATTCCTTGGAGGTCTCCCATCCAAGTACTTTATTTATTTATTATTTCTATTTGTATCCCGCCTTGCCTGGCACGCTGGCTCAAGGCGGCTAGCAGAGTTAAAATAACGTCAACAATACAGAGTTAAAACGATTACAATACCAAGTTAAAACAGCAACAGTTTACAAGTAAAACCGACAGATAGTGGCGATAATCCAAATCACACCAAATGATAGGAGTAGTATCCAGCGAGGTCTCAGGCCAGAAGATGTTCTCGATTTCAGGCCAGAAGATGTTCCAGGGCACATTCATCAGTGGTGGCTTGGCTCCTAATCAAAAGCCTGGTGGAAGACCTCCGTTTTATA